GACAAACGCCCTGAAATTGAAGAATATTTGTCCACTAGGCCCCTATTTCACACCCATGGTATGGACAAAACATGTCTTTGCGGTTGAATAGTTTCATTCTATTCAAAAAGAACACAACAAACGAAAAATACAAGAAGAGAAATTACAGATTCAAAGATTTTATATTGGACTGTGTAGAAAAATGACTGAACCAAACAAACAGTGTGGAGAGGGAGAAAAGTCAAGGAATGAAGTGGATGACGAATTTATTGCGTCAGACTAGAGTGCAGTCACGCCTCCGCCCTCGACCTTGAAAAGGCCACCAGTGAAAGAGCCAGTAAATCGTCTAGAGGGTGGCTTGAAAATTCACAAAATGGTCCATGTTCCTCCCAGTAACAATAAGAAGAATGGTGCCCTGAGAAAGTGTCGCTTGAGTGCTAAGCACAAGGTTAGAAAAGAAACAAGTATCATGTGTGCAGGCTGTGGTGTGGCTCTCTGCAAACTTTCATGTTTCAATGTTTATCACATGAAGAAAAACTAATAAAGAGGTATGGAAAGGAATTTATTGCATAATATATTGTATTTTAATTAGTTCCTGAAAATTTCGTTTTTAAAAACCAATTTTTGTTGAAGTTGTTTAGGAAAAAGTAACTACATGCATTTTAGCGACATAAGGTTTAAATGGCCTGCCAGGACAGGGGTGGGATTTAAATACCCTTCGCGCCAGTCAAAGAGTTAATACTGTTCGTCCCGAACAATTCCATGGTCCAGCATTCGTCGATCCATTGTTTCACATTCATTCTCGCTGGGGAGGCCGGTACTTCTACGTTACCGGCTCCTCCTCTGCTTGAAGTATCTTTTTCCGTTTTGGAGGGGATCAACCCTCCACAAGTTCCATTTCTTCATTTTCGGTAACCCACTGGAAATTCCTACTGTTCGATTCATGATTTCCAGCTCTAGCATCTTCTTGAGAGTCTTATAGGCTGGTCCTATTTTTCCCAGAGGTGATAGATGTCTTGAGCTGAACCCTCCGATACTGATCGCGGTTGCTCTCTTCTTTCTCTCGTATAGTAGCTGCTTGCCACCTCAGTCCTTAATTCCATTTTTGCATTCAGGTCTCGTTTGATATCTCCTCCCAAGCATCTGTTCTTTCGGGGTTCCTTGTACCACATTGCCATTGCTTTGTAATGCATGTGTCCTGCACAGCATGTAATCTTCTTTATGGCTGCGGTTACTTCTTTCCGCGGTGCACAATTTCTGTGGGTCATAATTTTTCTGAAGATGTTCCTCTTGCACCATGCCACTGTTGCATGACAGGACATCTTCCTGCAGGTGGCAGACAACTTATCCGGGATCCACAATCTCCTCAGGTCAGTTTCTTCGGCTCTCCGCATCACCCTGCAGCTTGCTTCTTCCGTTCTTTGACCAGTTTCAGTATGGTGTCTTCTATGGGGACTTCTCGTTGTTGGGCCACCTCAGGTTTCATTTCCACTGAGGTCAGCTCTTTTTCTTCTAGACGCGCCTCCATCTTTTCTGGGCAGGCCATCATCTCTTTTTGGGTAATCAGCATCAATTCTTCAGGTTCTCTGACCGGCATTACTTTGGCGTCTTTTATGGGGACTTCTCGTTGTTCTGCCGCCTCAGGTTTCATGACCATTGAGGTCGGCTCTGCCTCTTCTAGATGCGCCTCCGTCGTTTCTCAGCAGGCCATCGTCTCCATGTCTCTTTCCGGTTTGGTTTTGGCCACCATCTCCTCCATCATTTCCTTCAGTTCTCTTCAGTTGGCCTGTCTGTCATCCTCCAATCTGGCCAGCAATTCCTTGTCGCTGATCTCCGCCTTTTCTTGGTTGGCGTCTAATTTTCCCATGAAATCTTCGTCTGTCTCCCCCTTTTTCTGCATGTCTCGTATCTCCTTCAGCAGAAGTTCCAACATCAGCTGTGACTCCATGTCTTTTTCGCGTGGTTTTTGTGTAAGTTCGTAACCACTTCTGACACCAAATTGTCATATGTTGGGTGTATAACATGACAAAAACTTCACACCATTCTGGATCTAGCAAATTTATTCCACATTCGCTCTTACACATATACAATTCACAATCTCACAACTACTGCCATCAGCAGTATCACAATTACTTCTCCTGCCATTCACTCCGGCAAATGCTAGACTGCAACTGACTTGGCAACTTCACAATCCGCACTGTGTCACTCCTGATCATACACTCTGGTCACATACTGCTCAGCCAGGTTCTTTATACTGTTCCCTGTTGCCTCGTGTTACAGCAGTGTCCCCTGTTACGTCACTGTGGAGGAGGGGGGCAGAGTGTTGACTGGCCTGTTACCGTAGCAGCAACAGCGCTCTGATGCTGTTATGTCACCACTGACGGGGGAGGGGTTGTCCTACATAGCGCAAATAGGTCACATTATAATCATATGTGTTTTTGACTAATGAACTGGCTGTTTTATACTTAAAATGCATCTTTATGTCCCAGCCATTTCAGTTCACCTGAGTATACTGGTGCACAACTCTTTACTTTTGACATAATAATCAAGAAAAATACTTCTACACAATATCATTGGTGAGCCCAGTGCTTCAGTGTTCAATATATACACAACATTTGCTGATGGATACAGCTGAACTACTCAGTAAAATCAAGATCAGTGAATCACCAGCTGTTCATTAGCTGACTGGAAACAGATCAATGGTTTTAGCCAGTGGGTTAAAAAAAGAAAGAACAATACCACAAATCTGGGAATTAGGGAAGATCTGAAGGTAAAAACACTATAGAGAAAAGTAATGAAGTTAAAGATACTGTGATATGGACATGGGTTACACGCAGCTGAGGAGAGCATTCCGCTGGCAGTATAAAAAATGATGAAGATTAAGTGACCTAGAACTAGATTGAGACCATATTATGGGAGATACAAAGAAGAAAATAAGAAAGGGTGACAAAATATGTGCAAGAAGCATAGAGCATGAGAATGGAAAAGAATGGAAAATATTTTGTCATACGGTGATCCACTTGTCTGGAAACATCAGGAGATGATGTTGGAAAAGAATCTTCACAAAACTGCCATGACTTTCTGACCATACATCATTTAAATTTCTACCGTTAACAGTATTTAAATAGGAACAAATCCATCCTTCTTCAGTCTTGCATAGAGAACTGAATTAAATGAACGAGGACCAGAACACAAGAAAATGAAATAACTATATTATATTTAAGCATCCTGTTGCACTATACACTTCTATATGTAATAATACAAATGCTGTCGTGAATGCAACAATTTATTTGGTTGTAGTTCTTTGTCTTTTCTTCCTCTACATTACATGTTTCGGCCGCAACCAGCCATCAGAGGTATTTTTCACTATGTAGCTGTCACACTGCATACAATCTAAAATCTAAAACACCAGGCTGTCAGTTTTGTTTAAAATCTCGCCAACATACACTCGTCAATTTGATTTTAGAATTTCAATTTAAAATTTTAAAACTTTTAAAATTCAAAGTTTAAATTTTAATACGCGTATTAAAGATGAGCAGCGACACACACACACACACAGGGAGCCTGCACAGAATAATACGTGAACAGTGCTGAAAATAAGAAATGGCCGCTGCAGCACATATGGACACAGAGCGGGTATCCCTATTAAATTTTGAATTTTAAAGGTTTTAAAATTTTAAATTGGAATTCTAAAATCAAATTGACGAGCATATGTTGGCAAGATTTTAAATAAAACTGACAGACTGGTGTTTTAGATTTTAGATTGTGTGCATTGTGACAGCTACATAGTGAAAAATACACCTGATGATGGCCGGTTGCGGCCAAAACATGTAGTGTAGAGGAAAAAAAGACAAAGAACTACAACCAAATAAATTGTTGCATTCACGACGGCATTTGTATTATTACATATAAAAATGAAATAAATCAGTAACATTTACTAAAAAGCCATACCTAATTGCTAAATATTGCTAACAGTAGATTCTACAGAGTTCTGACGATGGTGTATAACACTCAGAATTACTGGGATTTTGGACCTTTTCCATTGTCCAATATTCTGGAAACTAGAAAATACATTTCGGAAACTAGAGCTGTTTCCGTCCTCAGGTGAAGGGGTGGGGAAGACACCTATTTTATCGCATATTTTCTTTTTATCTCTGCCAAATTAGCCTGGTCTTAGGTGATTAAATAGCTGTGTGAATCTGAAAGGGGTTGTCCAGTGATTGAGGTTAGCTCTTCCTAAGGGACCCAGCTGAGGTGCCTTCACCTGAGGACGGAACTGGATCCAGTTTCTAAAACGTGTTTCCTTGTTTCTAGAATACAGGACACTGGACCAAGTCCAAGAACCCAGTAATTCTGATAACTGAAATACAGAAATACTAGCAAATATTATTTCCAGCATAACTTTGCACTGTGACATTAAAAATGGAGGGAATAATGTAATTCTAAATGAAATGATGAATTGGTGATTAAAGAATTGGTTACCCTTTAACTATCATGTGGCACAATGTCCCCCCCCCATAAATGCAAATTCCATACATTATAATCATGACAGCCCACCAACTATTGTTTCCCTTTGAACAGTGCTTAATATTCAGGCCTGACAGTACTGTCAGGTCACTCTCTTCACACTAGCAGAGAGAAATCTACAAAAATGGATTCATCTGATTTCTCAAATACAAATTTTGCAGCTCGTTCAGTTGGCCAGTTGTGGACAACTGCAGTTTTTACAATGAAATTCGTCAGTAAACCCTTTAACCTTAGTCTCTATGAACTATTTTACAGTGAAATGTTCATCATCACATCCCACACAATAAGAATGCAACAAGAAATCAACTACCATTGTCGACTGTTTTCACATTTACCTCAGTATGTTACCAGAAGATGAAGCTGAAAAATACATGATTCTGTATAATTATGCAAGTTTTATACACTTCAGTACATAATAAGTTAGCGACTTTATTTAAAACAATGAATTTGGAAGTATTGTACATAGAACTGTGTGTCATATAGATTCATATTTGATACCCTGTTGTCATCTTGACATTCCATTGTTTTGTTGTCAAATAAAGTCAATATTATAGCCAGCTTTGTGTTTCCATGGATGACCCAGCATTTGCACCAAATGGCAAACACAGCTTGATTTTGACACTGGCTGAAAATAGAATGTAATAATGATGGTTTAAATCCATCTTGGGTCCAAAAATTATATAGTGTGGTACAAACTGGCAGAACCTGATATCCAGTGTAGTTACAAAAGTTCCTTAAATATGTCATACTGTGACATTTTGCTGAAAGCCAAGGCACACTGCTAGGTAGTGGTGCAATTAACACATCTCCATGACAGCAGTGACATCATACAACAACAAAGCAACTCCTGGACCAGTGTTTTCTGTAGGTCAGTTGCAACTGTCACATCATACTGTATCACAGCAGCTGCAAGAAAAGGTGTTTTCCAGTGGGTCCATCCCAAGGCTGTATCACAAGCACCAGTGGGACAAGCCAGCCAGAGACAGCCTTGAGATGGCAGAGTTAGAAAAGTAAGAGATTGGTGTGAGATGGCCGACAGCTTGCGAAGATGTGAGCCCAGGAGCAGAGGAACATCCACTGCTGGAAGATGTTACCCAGCAGTACAATGAAGACCATGATTGGGAACAATATTCTGTGTGTGACAGTGATTTGTGAAGTGTAGTCACAAGAGTCAAAGAGTCTTGAGACAGCAGTCAGTGCAGTTCATGAGCCATAAGACTGTGAACAGTAGCGCTTGTTAGAAGACTGTGACCAGGCAACACCTAGTTGAGAGGTGAGATAGCCACCACCCAGCAAGGATAGAAGCCACTGTCCGAAGAACCTGGGAAATTTACGGTGTTGGAAACTGTTACCAGACACAGCAGACGGAAAAGACTTAGCGCGTGCTGTATCAATTTGTTAAGCATGTAGATCCATGCAACTGCTATAGTTAATTGTAGTTACGATCTGCAAGAATCCAATTATTCCAGTTACCAATCCAAACCCCATGTGTAATCACATAATACATGATAATATTGTATTAAAAATATGTATAACATTAATTTTACTATTAGCTAAAACTTTTATTTGAATATGTTTTGAGCCAGTACCTTACCGCCATCTTTGAGCTGACTGTCTAGATAATATGGGACCCTCAACATCTCACAAACCTATGAGCCTTCACGGCCTGTTACAGGGATAGCTTTACTTTTACTTTATGTTTTGAGCCAGTGGATATTTATTAAGAATACATAGAATCCAGTATAAAGTAATGGCTTACATTATTTTATATGAAATGTAATTTGGTACAAATTTTAATGAGACCATCAGTTATTCAACATATACTATATTCAGTCAAAACAGAGCTGTTTCATATAGGCAAAACGTTTTGCAGTTATTTTCAAACATCTATAGTACATCTAAATTATTCACCAAATAAATTACTGTTCTCACAAAAGTTGTACAAATTATCGACAGAATACCAGTATTTTGATTTGTTTCTAAACATAATTGCTAAAACATTCAATTAATCATAAACACCTACATGAACCCTTTCAAATCCAGTTTTAGGTATTAGAATATCTAAAGAGAGCCTTTCAGAAACTATTCTTTCAAGGCACATACCCTTGAAACAGCCCTATCACAGCCATCAAAGGTATTATTTTCTTACTTTCTTTTTATGCAAATGGACAAACACACAAAGATTGGTAAACTGTGCAAACACTTGCTCAACACAAGATTTCTAATGTCTTTATGTTCATGCTTAAGACAAGTGGCACCGACAGCAAAATGCTGAACCATCTGCAGCTCAGTTTAACATGTGAGTAGTTTTGTACATATCTCGCTGAAAAATTCAGATGCAAACACTGGTGAAATCTTTTGAAGCTGAATGTTTCTAGTAATTTTTTTTTATATTACTGTAATACTATTTGAGGTTTCAATTTTATTCATAAATTACTAAAACACATTATTACCATGAAGAAAGTCGTCTTCTGGGATCTGGCGCTGTGTATTCTTGGTTTTTAGCTGCAATGCAGCTACTGCTCTGTATTCGCAATTCAACTCACCTGCCCTGAAGATGGAGGCGATACGTTCCTCCGAAACGTCGGTAAAAACCAAGAATACACGGTGCCAGATCCAAGAAGACGACTTTCTTCATAGTCACTGCCGTGAAAACCTCAAAACTTACACATTATTGCCATATTTATTGTATCATGATACACAGAAAAGCTGAGGTTGCTGCTAGAAATTGTCATACAAAATAAAGATGCTGACTCTGGACTGGCACAATATTCATCATAATTACTTCTTGCCACCATGTCCCTTGACTTCTTCACGTAATTCAGAGAAGATCACCCTGACTTCCTGTCATATTTTTGGCATCCACTGCTGGACACAGCCAACACTGATCTGTTTCTGAAATAAAAGTTATAAGTTGATCAGACTGGCCTGCAAAAGACAGCAAGTGAGATCATGTCTGTTGGAAACCTAAGCAGCCCTCCCTTCAAAGAACCAAGATTGTCTTCCTTTTCTGCCAGGGTTCAGGGGAAGGAAGGAATGGACTGACAGGTGATTCATGAATCTTATGAGAACTGATTATACAGCTAATGACAATGGAGATTATGCATACAGAGTAACTTTTAAATAATAATATTTCCAGCTTTTTACATTGGAAAATATGTAACAGAGGTACCTTAAACTTGGGTTTCATGACCCATCATGCTGCTGTTTCATCCACCCGAAGTCCTCATAGAACCGAGGGTCACTAATTCGCAGCATCGAGCGTTTGTAGTGATAATAGTACAGCACAGCCACTGCAAATGAAACAAATGTCATGCTTATGGAAACTAACTCAAATGACTGCACCTTCACAACTTTTCCGTGGGTACTACTCACAAAGTCTCTGAATAACATATAGCCAGATCAGACCACTTGGCCATATGTGCCCCAGTGGATGTCCCCATCGTTCACTTAGCGACCAGCTGTGTAAGGTGATAGTCAGGATGAGATATGCCGTGCTGATGATAATTGTAGCTCGGAACCGGTCATACAGCAGTTCAATCAGACCAGCCAAAAATAACATACAAGCAATATTGAAATATAAATGTACATAAACTCTTAAAAGGACATAAACTACTGAGGCAACTTACCTGGAAGGCATACGTAGAAAAAAAACTGAGGACCAGTGAAATCAATGCAAATATTAAGCAAACATCTTGAATTCTGTAAAAAAANATGGAGGGACGTCTACGTAGGCCGCTTAGAGAGAGATAGAGAATACTAGGCCATCAAGAAGGGCACCAATCTGCTGAGAACATCACATTATNTTACATCATATTATAAGATATCCTGTCCATAACCCAGTGTCAAACCTTGTCCCTAAGGTTCATCAAATAACAGCTTCATAGAAAATAAATTTGAACCCAAATTAAGTGCCATGTTAGCATCTTCCTCAAGATTTGTGCTGCTCCCAAAATGTTCATCTTCTGCAGTTCTACACTGGAATGTTTACCAGAAATGTCTTCTAAATACTTATGGAATTGTCCCGATAGGCTTCAAATTGCACTTATAATTNAGAATACTAGGCCATCAAGAAGGGCACCAATCTGCTGAGAACATCACATTAGCTATCAATATCATTATTCTAAGGCCACGCCATAGCTTAAGCGATTAGTCGCTGGCTTCCCACCACTGTGATCTGAGCAAGTGGGATTTGTGATGGACAAAATGGCGCTGGGGCAGGTTTCCTCCGAGTACTTCGGTTTCCCCTGCCAATGTTCATTCCATCAAATTCTCCACAAATAAGAATGTAAAAAATTGTAACTATTGTAATTTTAATCTACTTATATATCAAATTGTTAATATTCAGAATTAACTTGACTTGTCATATATCATGTACAACGATCTACAGTGACGAAATAAATCAATCAATCAATCAATCAGTAAATCTTTGTATTCTTGTACTTTTCAGCTTGTTTCTTCACTCTATTTCCAGCAGTTTGTACAGACATTTCAACCTGTAAACATGTTCAACTTCTGTGTATGGGTATGATGTCAGTTTTGTTGCAAGGTATAGTTTTGTGTTATAATTTGTTATTTCCAAAGTATAACTTTATTACCTGACTTAAACTGGCACTGGCATAATGTTTGAACCATCTGTCCCTTACCATTTTCCCTCTTAGTGTTTACAAATATTAAATGCATGTTTTCATAACTAGGCTATAGGCTGGACCATCAATAAGTATAGCTTTGATTCTCAGCAGGGACAAGAGATTCTTCTTGCCTCCACAGCATCCAGATTGGCTCTGTGGCCTAGCCAGTCTACCAAATAGGTGCCTGGGGCTCTTTCTCTGGGAGTAAAGCAGCTAGGGCATGAAAATGACTACTCCCCTATTACCTAATGCTGAAGTACACACGAAACTGTACCTCCACTATCCCGTATATCTTGGCATGATGCCCAGTGAAGGACAACTTTAGTTCACTTCACTTTATAGACGAATGAAAACTTATGGAAGGCACATTCAGAGATTCACTTGTAAATATCCATAGAAGGGGTTCCCACAAAGTTGTGTGTAGTTGTGCATATTAAAGCCTGTCTAAAAGTGGTGGATCATTTTGTTTGTAAGAAAAAGAAATAATCAAAGCTGAATATGATAACTGAAGAAGTTTTAAGATATTCAGGTACGATTACAGAACAGTCCTTGCAAATTAGTCCTCAAAGTCTCTGCATACCACACGTACTCACATACAGCTTTGCTTGCAGCCTGTTCAGCCTTTCTTTTAAAGAAATGTACTTCTTACAACATTGGCATCAAACAAGACTGTCAGACGTTCATTGGCATGAAGTTTCACACAGCAGAGACCTATCCATAAGATTATTTACTTCCAATTTCTGATACAGAGGCATTATTTTTGGCCAAAATTTTGTGTAAGAGGAGTTCCAATGTAGTCCTTGTATGTGCTGTGTTGCTAGTTTTGCTAGTTTCTAGGCAGCGCCCGCTGGTAGAAGCACCAAGCTGGAAAATAGAGTGGCTTAAGTTCTGGTCCATAAAAGAATAGTGAAGCACAGTTGCATAACTCAGTCTTCAGTGCGATAACACTAATTATCACTGATAATGACATATTGCTAGTATTCAGCCAACATTATAATTGTTTCCTTCGGACTGTCACAACCCACATTACACAATGTGACACCTTCTGTACCCCATTTATCTCAGGCAGCTAATCAGACATTTGGCAACATGATCCTTCTTTCACTGGATATCTGTTCCATAAATGTTTGAATGAAGAAAGTGGCTGAATGCTTCTGCATCAGCACTTGAAAGGAATGCTGACTACCACAGTCTGTAGTGCTCTGAGTACCTTCATAGTTTCTCACTTGGTGTCATCTCCAAGTGCCTTCATAGTTACAATCAGTGATGTGTGGCAACTGTACTACGTATCAAATTTTGGCCTTTTTGAACCCATGTCACATTTTGCAAGCACACATACATGGCAGTATTTGGATGTACCTCAAAATTTGCTACAAATCCTACCAGTATAACAATTACACTGGCTACACCACAATTAGATATGCTGTATCACCTCCCTTATGCAAAGCACCATAACAGCTAACATGTATGTCCAATGTGCTGTTTTAACCTTTAAACGCCGGGCTTTTGAAATGGTGGTAAGCCTTAGCTGGCCAGAGTTTATTTAAATGCCAGCTGCTGGTGCGCGTTTAAATGCACGTTGCTACTCTGCGTTTAAATGTCTGTTCCTTTTAGGCACTTAAACAATTTTAAGCAGTGTGTTTAAAAATGCTGTACCTAACACAATTTTTATGACAAATGGATGGAATTAACTTTGTCTGCATCAGCAAAGAACATAGTGTCGCATATTACAACGGAAGATTTGAAAAATTTTATACAAAAAGTTATAATCTATTATCAATTTTTTCTTTTAATTTTGATGTGTACTGCAAAATTGGTGTCCCAGTTCTTCACAGAGTTATTCTGCATTATAAATTCGTTTCTGTTTGTAACACTTGACAAATTTTAGCAGTCCGTGGTGCCATAAAACAGATGGAAGCAATAAAATCATTTGATTCTCTGCTGGAAAACCTTACATCTCTGTAACACTCTTCAGATTTTTGAATCCTTTGACTGACGGACGGAAGAATGAAAGCATGTCTATTCAAGAAATAGGTAGAGGGTTCCCTTCTTCAGTGCTAAGCCCTTCCGTTACAGTTACAAAAGATTATTGCCCTTTCTATGGGCGTGATATACAGTTGCATCGTGGCTGAGATACAGAGTGCAATCTGTTTTCTGTGCGTTCGTAGTGAAGCCGAATACTTTACTTTCATTTCAGCCTATATATACATCAAGCAGATAACAACAAAAAAGGTATGTACATCAAATTTTACTGTCTATTTTTAACATATTAATCTGCAGAATTGCAATAAAAGTACTGGCTCGTGGATGAGTTTGGTCATAACTCATACATATACTCTTTTTGTTGTTGTTCACTTAGGTATCATTTTAATTCCTCTATTAGGGTTTTACTCAAGTCTGTCTGGTAATTACTACATTTAAAAATAAATATTTAGGACTGTGCATGCACTTCTACTAGCGGCATGTGCGCGCGCTTCTACTAGCGGAGTTTAATGCCCAACTGGCCAAATGGGGTACTTTGGCCACGACAACCATACTCATCACTGACACGATTGGGGCACTTCAGCCGTTAAAGGTTAAGAAATGCCATCCTCTAACTCCCTGTGGGTTCTGTTTACCTCCTGTCTCGCTCTCCGAAATACCACCTCAACAATTACTGAAGTATCTCAATGAAAAGCATGGGATTGGGCATTAAGTGTATTGTGGCCCATATATTTCTTATTCTCTACCATGCAGAACTGTATTGCATTGCATTGTATTGTATTTATTGTAAGTTCAAGAGATCCAAAGATGGATATAGAACATGCCATAAAATAATATACAGCATAGAAAACATACATAGTTATTACACAACTACACAGTACAATGAATACAACAATAATAAAAGTTATCTATTTAGAGATTCATCCACAGTATAAAATGTATGAGTGTTTAAGAAATGCCTTAATACAGCCTTAAACTTTTTAAAATTATTAGGTGTGTTCTTGATCTCTAGGGGCAATTTATTAAATACTTTTACCCACATAATAAATTCCTTTTTGATAACTAGTTAAATTAGCTTGAGGTAGATACAACTCTTGTTGTACTTAATTAACTTGTTACTTAATTTTTTTACAAGTAAATCAATATGATTCTTCCATATTAAGGCACTATCAACTATAACTCCCAAGAATTTAGTACTGAGGGTATTGTTAATAAACTTATTATTATGATTTATTGTAAAAGTATTTGACATTATTGTCTTAATTTTGAAGTGAATACAATGTGTCTTGTTAAAGTTTAAAGATAATTTATTAGCTCTAAACCATCCATTTAAGATTTCAATTGTTATATGAATATTCCTGTTAAAGTAAAAGTAAAGTAAAGTAAAGCTATCCCTGTATAAGTATAGAGATATTTCTGGATCTGTCAAAGGCATTTGACTTAGCTGATCAATACATATTGCCAAGGAAGATGACAAGAATGGGAATAAGAGGGGTTGCACTAAAATTGTGTCAATCATATCTAGAAAACAGGGAACAAAGAGTGGAAATTACATATAGATGTAATGAAACTAATGAAATCACAAATTATCTATTGCGAGTCCCACAAGGTTCTGTTCTCAGACCAGTGTTGTTTTGCTATATATCAATAATCTAGAAGCCGGCATTGAACATGGAAGACCAACGTTTTTTTGCGATGATACTAGTATTCTTATAGCAGGAAATAGTGCTAATGATGTCCAAAGGAAAATAAATAAAACAATAAATGCACTCACACAGTGGTTTGAAAGGAACAGATTAATTATTAATAAAGAAAAAACAATAGCAATATCCTTTCAACTTCAAAAAGTACAAGTCGAATGCCCATCAATAAAGCTCTATGATGCAGTCATCAATTATACAGAATATACAAAATTTTGTAGAGTTTGGCTGGATAAGAATCTAAGGTGGTCTGCTCATACTCAACAACTAACAAATAAATTATGTAAAATATGTTTTGCCTTGCAAATAGTCAAAAGAGTATCAGGGTTAGAGTCTGTTCGCACCTTACATTATGCTTATTTTCAATCCTTGTTATTATATGGACTGATATTTTGGGACAATTCAAGAAATGCAAAATTCATCTTTAGGTTGCAGAAGAGAGCTATTAGAGCTATGATACAAATCCTGAAAAATATTAGTTGTAAATAATATTTTAAATCGTTATACATATATTATCTTTACCATGTCTGTATATATGAAAGTCTAGTTTACATAAAAACCAATTTGAATGTTTTCATATGCAATTCAGGAATACACTCCCACAATACAAGGAGAAAACATGACTTGTTCATAGTGCCATGTTATACAAAAACAATTTCAATAATATTGGACTTTGTATGTTAAATCAGTTACCACAGTATATTAAAGAGATGCCAATACTATACAAGTTACTTTGATACTTTGAAAACGTTCCTACTTGATCATTGTTTCTATAGTACAGACAAGTTTCTCTTGTTTGGGGACAAATCCTAGTTCTAATCACTTGTAACCATATATTTCAAGAATAATTAACTTGTACATTTTAATATTAGTACATGTTATAGGAATGCCTACTGCCCTGTTCTGTATTTTTTCTTACAGGAACGAGCTCCAGGATACCAGGGTATTTGTGCCGGGACAGAAGGATC